CAAACAAAAACAAAGATGAGTTGTGATTCATCTATTCCATGGCCTGTATTAATCTATATTAATCTATTCCATGTCAAAAAAAGCAAAGATGAGTTGAGTTGTTAATTAAATTGTTAAATCATGTATATATCTATTCCGCCTGGTATGTTTTTGTTGTTTCGACATGTTTCGAGCCACATCCCATCACCACCGCCCCATCCTGGCGCCGCCTGTTGATGGAGAGCTGCATGAACCAAACATTCCGCAGGGTGCTCACGTTTCGCCACCGCCTTGGGCCGCGATGATGATCATTTCATTGATATGAACAACCTATATATATATAAACACCTATGGTATCCTATGGTGATACTACTGATAATGTCATATCGTTATATACTGTTCCTATGGTCGTGATATGTCGTGATCATATATTGTCAGCCTCTCAAATGATGATTACAGCCTATGAAATTTCAGGAGAAAAAAAAGGGATCGTATACTAAACAATCAATGATTCCAGTGAATAGATAGACAGAAACTCGGCATAACTCGGCTATTTTCATTTTTTTTCAGATATCAACGGATTATCAACGGGTCAGTTACAACCCGTTTACCCCTCCGCAAACTAACGCGGGTTTCCCAAGAAAAACAATCTACGAATGGTGGATGTCAATATTGCTTTGATGCATTAGGGTGTACCAATTTACCAATAATCGTCCCAGTTCCAATATCACTCTCATTGGTTCAGTTATATCCCATTTCTCCTGAAACTCCTACGCACCAAGTTGCTTTTCCCATAGAGTAATTCTTGGTCAATTACCCCACTGTAAGCATACAAAAACATCTGCAAAACCCGCCATCGGTAGATAATTTTGATAGGAAAACCACGGCAATTTCACATCGTTTTCTATGTTTTCCATTGTTTTCCCAAAGGTATATCTCCATCAGTCATCCCTGAAGGGACAGTTTCCGCGCCTCTTGCAGTTTCCGCGCAGCCTGCGGATGCGCCACCAGAAACCATGGTGCAATGTAGGGGATAAAACCACCATGGAACCATACAGATCCTGGGATTGAATCTACTAGGGGGTCTACTAGGGGGATGGGATTAGTTTGGAATGAGCTCCACTATATCTGGTTGGTGGTATACCTACCCCTCTGAAAAATATGAAAGTCAGTTGGGATTATTATTCCCAATATATGGAAAAATAAAAAATGTTCCAAACCACCAACCAGGTTATAATTTGCAACTATTTGGACAGCTTCCGTAGCACCTTAAGTTATCCGAGGGTAGATTGAGATCTGAAACAAGTCACAGGGGGCTTGCGGTGATTTCGCCACTTTCTTGCGTGTTAAGCATTGTTAAACCACAACCACAATAGTCCTATCCACAGTTCATATTCAACACCTAGCCTCCAAGTTTCATCATGTTATAGAGGATGAAATGATGAAACCACATCTTCGGGACCATTTAGGAGGTGTTTCATACTGGGAGGGATTCTACAACCCCTCCACAGCGGCAAAAGATCCGCCTCGGCTGTGCTGAGGACGTCCCACAAGCCATCAGATGCTAGCACCAGGAAGCGAACGTTCTTGTACGCCGAACTTCCCATACGAATGATCCTGGCGATTCATCGCCGCGCTGAATCCCCTTGGAGAACTAGTGAGTCCATATGCCTGGTCAGCAAGTCCGCTAAATGCATTAATTATCAGTCCCATTTATCACTGAGTTATAAGTTATAAGGTATAACATATATACTCATTTGTACCATTTTATACCCTCATTTTTTGACCAATGATGTGAAGTCATCCTCCAAGTATAAATTGGCCAAGCTTGTAGAAAAGGTACAAAGGTACATACTGGTACCCAAGTCTTCAATTCCGATGGGCATGCGTTAAAAACATGGATAGAAAATCACGTTTGATCGTCATTGGGACCTGTTTGATCCATCAACCATTTTTGAGGCATTTCTGGATTACATCCCCATGTTTGGCAGATGATAGTATATATATATATATATGGTGGCTAAACTCACTGTTTTTGCGTTTTCTTCGGAAAAAAATTCTGGTCAAACCTGCATTGCCACATTTTTCCGTAGACAAAGCGTGGTTCAACAAGTCGTGGTTAAACTCAATCCATCTCAAACCCACATTTACCGACACCCATCTGTGGTTCCCAGCTTGACGTCTGGGACACAGCTCAAGCCGAAGATTTTTAGGTCCTGCGACGTAGCCGAGGTGATGCCATCATTTCACGGTGGTTTTTAGAGGTTTGAGTCATACCCAAGCAATCCTACTAGTTAGCCAAAATCATTCTCTTGTGAAGTACTTCAACTACTCACATAATTACCGGAAGCTGTCTTGTAGTTGCCCTTCGGTTTCGAAGGCCACAATTTTCAAGGGTAAACCCCGAAATAATCATCGAATTACCACCTCGAAGCACCAAAAATCATGGTGGTCGAAAACCAAGAGGCTTCAGCCCTTCGAGGAGTCCAGTCTTGATCATGGGTGCATGTTTTCGCAAAAAAGCATGGAGACCCAATAAGACAGGGAATGCCATGCGAAAACAAAACGTCAACCACTTTGGACTTTGGGTCAACATGGGTAAACATCGGTCCCAAAGTGGACGTCCTTGGCGCCAAAAGCACGAGAATACTGAAGTTGCATGGGCTGTTCGCCCAGGGCCTGGCTTATCCCATTGGAGCCAGGCCAACTGCCTATCTGTTTCCTGTGGATGAAACAAATCAAAAAGACTGATGATTGAACATCTTCACTGCAAGCCCTACGTTTGCCCACGCTCTACTCGCAACAATAGATTTGTATATATTTGTATACTGCAGTAATTTACACTATGTTATCACTATGTTTGTTCAGGAAAAACAAACCCTAAACCCTAAACTCAACAACTCCAAAACCACCTATATATCCTAACACCCTAAAACTCAAGCCTAAATCATACGAAACACTGTATCATGAGATGCGGACATGCATGCTTGTTGCCAGGGTAGGAATGTTGTGGACGAACCCAGAGTGGCGCCGAGGTTTAGTCCCGAAACTTGGACATTGACCAACCAAAAAAAAAGTGGGAAAAAATCGACAAAATCCAACTGTCCTCAACACATTGATTCAATTGCCGTATCTTGAAGCTACAACCATGACATAAAAGACGCCCACTGGATAAACATCACACCATGACACCCTGCCCCATCTTTTCGGCCCAGGTCAACGCTGACACACTGCGCGTTTTGTCATGACACTGCTGACTTTGGACTTTTGGACCATCATAGAATTCATTGAAGGGAGTATCATTGAAGGGCTAAACCCTCTATTAATCAACCAACCAATGGGAAAAGGACATCTATGGGGAATATGTCACCAAACCACATTTCTTTGGCAAAACCTGAAGGTTTCTGGTAGATTTTTTCTCAACGCAGTGACAGAACAATGCTGGGCTACCAATCTACCGCCTGAAGGTAACATGCAACCCCCAAAAAATGCAGTTTGCATTCCGGCAAAAGAATGGTGCAAACCGCTTTGCTGGCATATTCATGTACATTTCATGTGTGTTTTCGGGATGGTGTTGTATCTAAACGGGAACTTGATGGAAGTTGGCAAGAAACGATGTATCGAAATCGGATACCCAGCAAGCTTTATATTATAGACCGCTCTCAAGACCAAAGCATCAAAGTATACAAATGGCCAACATTTGATAATCTTAGTAAGGCAATAGTACACCATCCCCAATTTTACCATTCTATGGCTAGTACAGTATAAACATTTCACCATCAATTTATATGGCTGGTTTATGGCATTGCTTTACCATAAAACACCATTTCATACTGGTAAATTAACAGTTCGACCCTGGCAGTCATCGGGGTTGGAAGACTAGTTTCCATTAAAAATGGGTGATTTTCAGGGTCAACAAGTTAATTTACCAGTGGGTAAGGATATCTATAATAGAAATAGTTTATATCTATTTATAGACCTATATATATATATCTATTGTTTATAGGGACAAGCGATAAACCCATTACTTTTACCATTTCATATATGGCTAGGGTATCTCTCGTAAATCGGAACATCTCGTCCCGAAGCACATGTCGCTGATCCGAAGTTGTGTTGAGAGGTGCCCGGTGCAGGCCCTGAAGCGGATGGTCCTGTGGTGGCACCTCCAAATCATCCAGCTATGGGGTACGTATCCCCGTTTATGGAAACCTGGTATTGATAGAATTCATATTATACGGATATTATATAGATATTATATAGATATTATATAGATATTATATGCCGCAGGTCCAAGAGTCCAAGAGTCATGACTCAACAAATCTTCAGCGTGGATGGTGAACTCCAGAACCACAAAAGGATCCACTGAGATCTGGAAGTTCTGCGAGTGCGGTGAAGTTTGATCAAGTCAGCAGACATCCAATTTGTGTATGAACATCGAAACATTGGATGTATCTACTATTTATGTATCAACAGGTTATCAACCTCCAAGTAAACCTCATTGTTTTTCCGATTTCATTTATCATATTTATCTCTGTATTACTTTTCCAATTTCAATCTAGACTACCCAACTAGCCGTCACACGAGCCCCTGGTGGAATGTATTGATTCTATTCATGATTTAGGGTCCGAAACATCGAGTTATGTAATCTGATTGGAAAAATCATCAACCAACCATCCTTTCTCAAGTCTATCAACATCATTTGATTGCCGAAGGCTCTATAAATGTTGGGGTTTGAAAACCCCATGAAAGAACTCACCAACATCAGGTCCCAATCGCAATATTCGTACGTGTATATGCGTACGGTAGTAGTACACATAAGCACGAAACAAATCCTATACCCTCAGGTTAATTTACATACATAGCCATGAATTTGGCCCATTTAGTTCGATTATTTACCAATGAAAAATGGTGAGTTTCCACAGCTATGTTAAATCACCACACAATACCCTCCGGTAGTCAAACATGGCAATGGAAAAAAACATATAGAATAGTTTAGAATCCTTTAGAATTTAGATGATTTTCTCATGACCAAGCTCCATTCATAGGGGATTTCCCATCGATTTCCAGTTGCCACGGTGACTTCACGTTTCGCTGGGACGAATGGACAAGGCATTTCTCAGGAGATTCACCTGGAGCGGCGAAGCCGATTTCGCTCGGACGAGCGGTGAAGCCCATGGAAAGAAAAACCCGGGTATAAATTATCATAATCATAGATATTTAGATTATAATATAGTTAGATTATGATATAGTTGGATTATGATATAGTTGGATTATAATATAGTTGGATTATGATATAGTTGGATTACAATATAGTTGGATTATGATATAGCTGGATTATGATATAGTTGGATTATAATATAGTTGGATTATGATATAGTTGGATTATGATATAGTTGGATTATAATATAGTTGGATTATATAGTTGGATTATGATATTGGATTATGATATAGTTGGATTATAATATAGTTGGATTATGATATAGATGGATTATGATATAGTTGGACTATAATATAGTTGGATTATGATATAGATGGATTATAATATAGATGGATTATGATATAGTTGGATTATGATATAGATGGATTATAATATAGTTGGATTATGATATAGATGGATTATAATATAGATGGATTATGATATAGTTGGATTATGATATAGATGGATTATGATATAGATGGATTATGATATAGATGGATTATGATATAGATGGATTGTGATATAGATGGATTATGATATAGATGGATTATGATATAGATGGATTATGATATAGATGGATTATAATATAGATTGCTTATAATATAGTTGGAATATGATATAGATGGATTATAATATAGATTGATTATAATATAGTTGAAATATGATATAGATGGATTATAATATAGATGGATTATGATATAGTTGGATTATGATATAGATGGATTATGATATAGATGGATTATGATATAGATGGATTATGATATAGATGGATTATAATATAGTTGGATTATGATATAGATGGATTATGATATAGACGGATTATGATATAGATGGATTATGATATAGATGGATTATGATATAGATGGATTATGATATAGATGGATTATGATATAGATGGGTTATGATATAGTTGGATTATGATATAGATGGATTATGATATAGATGGATTATGATATAGATGGATTATGATATAGATGGATTATGATATAGTTGGATTATGATATAGATGGATTATGATCTAGTTGGATTATGATATAGTTGGATTATGATATAGTTGGATGATGATATAGTTGGATTATAATATAGTTGGATTATGATCTAGTTGGATTATGATATAGTTGGATTATGATATAGTTGGATGATGATATAGTTGGATTATAATGTAGTTGGATTATGATCTAGTTGGATTATGATCTAGTTGGATTATGATATAGTTGGATTATGATATAGTTGGATGATGATATAGTTGGATTATAATGTAGTTGGATGATGATATAGTTGGATTATAATGTAGTTGGATTATAATATAGTTGGATTATAATAGTTGGATTATGATATAGTTGGATTATAATATCTGCTTGGTGGTTGCAACCCCTCTGGAAAATATGATTTCGTCAGTTGGGATGATTACATTCCCAACTGAATGGAAAAAAATAGTGTTCCAAACCACCAACCAGATTATCATAGACAAAAAATAGAGAAACTTTATGAAACTTTATCATTAAATGATAGGATATTTCCCACTTTATCTTGGGTTTTAACATGGGGTTGATGAAAACCTGGAAAATTGATGAGACTTGATGAGACATGGACAAAAATCCTTCGAAGATGTTGATCCGAATTGATCCAGAACGGAGTCTGCAAGGATGATAAACAGAACCCAGAAACTTTGGTGTACGCGATTTGCAGAGATTTGGGAACCATTTTGGAGGTGTTTACTGGTGAATGGGACTAAAGCTAAGATTATAATGTGTGATTGATTGGATATCATGATGTGACCATTTTTGCGTTAAACAGAAACATATTAAACATTCAATCCTCTGCAAAGTCAATCCCTAAATTCCTGAATTTGCGTAGTGTGGTATGCCCGATGCCACAGTCACCATTCCATCAACCAACCATGACTGTCATAAAACACATCATCCCAGTTCTAGGGTATACCATGGTATACCCAACCTCAGAAGCCCAACCGGAGACGGGCTTCAAAACCGGGCCCACGATACTAATCCCTTCCCCGTAATACTAAACTCCTATAGAACCCCCTTTTTGTCAGGGAATTTACGCAAAAATTTGGGACCACATGTGGGGTGGTTTCTACATTAGGGGGATAGGATTACATACCTCCTGTGATCTTCCTTGCTGAACTATCCCCATTTTTTGCTCAGGTACTCCACTGGGAAATCTCAGAAATCTGATCAAAGGGTGGCATCATCTCAGGTGCTGCCCCAGTTCTACTAGGTTTTTTGTTAAGTTGGTCTATAACCTAGTAAAGGAGAAAAAAAGGCAATGTGAATGGGGTTAATCTAAACCAACAAACAGAACATCACCGGGGCAGCATACAATGACATAGAAGTAACAGGAGGATACTGCCCGGTTGTTTTAACACTTGCAAATGCCGTTTCAATAAACCAACATTCGGAAAGTCAGGGGATAGAAATTGATATGAACATACAAGGATTTTCCGGCACAAGACATGGTTGGGTCTCCAATTGGGGGATTTACCGCCAACACTGCAATTTCCAAACGATGATCAATCATGGGACTTTGGTGGGTATACTGTATACTTCATTTATAATCCACACCCAAATCATATCAACTTGGTGAAACTTACGTCAAATATCTCATAAACCCATGGGACCCCATACCAGGCCAGCCCTTAAAAGTGACATCACCCCACCGGCCCGTCGCACCCGAGCAGGGTGTAGCCCAGGCCAAGCGCCACCTAAAACCTCCGCCACAGGAGCCCAATGCGCTGCGATCACCGGATCCTACGCCACAGGGGAACTTTTTTTTCCAGCACAAACGACACCATAAACATGGGGGTTCCATAAAGGGGGGTGATCCCAAAATGGATGTAAAAATGGATGATTGGAGGGTACCCCCATAGGAAACCTCCAAAAATAGAGGTTTAACCACCCATTTTGACTATAACAGTATAGCAACCTATTTCACCATAAGAATAGAAGTTTAACCAAGCTTCAAAATGCTGAGTTTGAGAATCAAACCAATGCTATTTCTTTAACTTACGTTGATGGGAGACAATCCATATAAAACCCATCCTCTCCAAGGCTTACTATATTAGGGGAAAAAACTAGGGAATACACCACATTTTTTGGCATACCCGAAATATATTAAGTTCGTGAATATATGTATATATTATTACCATTATTATCATTCTTCTTATTAATATGATTAATTATTATTGTTATTATTTAATTATTATTTAGTATTGAATATTATTAGTATTATTACTATTATTATTGTTATGAATAATATATGCCATACATTATAATCTACGGTATTTTTTAATATTAATTGCACATATCCCGCTATCTTCCAGTATAGACTCATTGAAATGGACCCCGCGCAAGCCCTACTTCATTCCAAGCCAGGCTGTGTCTTCCAGCACAGGAGGAGTATCCTCTGACAATGCAGTCCATCGTGTGGGTTGCGTATCCCCTTATATCACATTATATGGCTGTGAGTCAAAACCCTATCCCCCTGGTGAACATCAAAATAGCTGGTAAATGGATGGTCATTCCCCTAAAAATGGTATTAATAGGTATTGACCCATACCCATATCCAGTTCTGTCCCATTACATCCCATTCCACCTCCAATATATCATACAATGTGAGGCCCCCCAGTGATGTTTGTTGGTTTAGATTCGCCCCAGTAACTAGTTCGTTATAAGTACCATAAACCATAGTGAAATTGGAGTTATGCTCACCAACTTAGCTATCTTGGGGGCCTCACATTGTAGCTCATAAATATTGCCATAAATTGGCGAACAAAAAACATATTTTACGACACATTTGACATTTCAAATCATATTGTTGACTAATCCCATTATATGCACATTATCCAGCCCAATTTTTGTTGTTTCCAAAAGGCTAAACCATCAAACATGTTCATGCTTTCCTGTAGAGTTTTCCAAGAACATCTAGCCAACAAATCTGGTTCATGTCCCATTATAACCAATTACATCCTATATATCCCATACATATATAATATATCCCATATATATATATATATACATATGCTACATATCCATATATCTCATATTTAAAAAACGTCATTGTTGCTGTAGCTTTATCCAAGAGATCCTCTCCTTATCCGTGGGATCTTCGTGTTGCGGCGCCCAGCTCTTGGTGAGGTCGAAGTCGCCGTCTGTCTCTCGTGACGAGACCTGGAGAAGCATGGCATTTCAATGGAATTGTCCATTGGGATTTTCCATGGGGATTTTTCATGGGAGCTAATCATTGTTCCATGGGATCCTATTGGGATTAATGGGATCATATAGTGGGATTCTATGGGGTTATAATAGCAGCTATATGGTAATTTAACATATGATCCCATTAATACCCAATAATAGCAGCTATACGATTATAACCTAGAACAATTATGAGATTATATGGGGTTATAATAGCAGCTATAGTAAAGATCTCACCCTCTGGTAATTTAACATTGCTGTGAAACATGGCCCATTTAGTTTTTCATGTTTTACTGTAACTAAATCACCAAAGGCTAACGGCTGCTGTTCATCTTACCAGATTTAATGGGATGATATTTTTTGGGGAAAACAAGATATAACAACATATAACCAACAGTAATATCATCCAACAGTATAACCAACAGTATGTCATCCCATTCAATACATAGTTTTATATAACCAACAGTTTATAACCAACAGTCGAAGGATTCAATGGGTTCAAACAACCCGAGTTGCAAACCAGGAAACCCGACCTAGAAATGACAATTTCAAACATCATTCGAAAAAACATGTTCCATGCTACTTTTGTTCGGATTTCAGATTATTTTTTTCAGGAAAGGTATGGAAAGGTACTAGTGAATGGATGTGAGTGGATAGAACCAACACCAAAGGATAGACCATGGCAAACCCAAAAGATGACAAATGGTGTTGCTGAAAGGAAAATTAACTAATGAGCCCAGAGTAGAAAGAGAAGCAAAACAAACTATTTTATATGTGCCATGCTCAAAACAAACAAAGAGGGACTCCAGCATAGTATAGGGAACCGGTTCTCCAACCACTGAGGAGGTTGCCTCATGTAACGGATTTTCATCCAGTGTGGGCAATCACATCATATTGAGATATGCAGAAACATGGAGAAACACAACCGCCATGCTATGCATTTCAGGGTGTCCACAGGTAGGAACGAAGCTACCTACCCCAATGCTGCCCTTTTTTCGGAAACACCATGGTTTGGAACTTTCGGAAGCGTTGAAGATTGTTCTATTGTTCAAATCAATTCACATCAGTTTACATCCATTCAGATCCATCTACATCATTTCAACTACCCTCTGGTTATTTAACATAGCCATGGTATAGATGGCCCATTTATAGATGATTTTCCCAGCTAGAAACCTCCATTTATAAGGGATTTTCCATGGCTATGTTAAATAACCAGAGGGTATATAACCAGAGGGTATATTTTATATCCAGTTGCATCCTCGTAGCCCTGGGGGATTATATGGGTGTCCTAATGCCTGGGCCAAGAGGTAGCGACAGCCGAATTTCTCCTCATCCACGTGAAGGCCTTCGGGAAGATATGGTTCATGGTGACTAAGCGTTAAGCCCACAGTATATATATATATATATATCCATATATACATATGTACATAGGTATGTATGTACATATATATATATATATATATATGTGTGTGTGTCTGTTGAATTTCTTATTTATGTATGTATGTATATATATACATACATATGGGGGTTTCCTGAAATAGGGGATCCCCAAAACCATTGGTTTCAGTACTAAAATGGTCTTATTTTTGCTGATTTGGGGTGCCCCCCATTTCAGGAAATCTTCTATATATATATATCAAAATCCTGAACGCCTGGTGCGAAAATACAGCTTAATTATCGCCTTTGGGAGGCTTGTTAAACAATAAACTTAAAAAAAAATGCGGTGGAATTGTTATAAAAAGGTTTCCAAATCAACTTTCTGGAGGCAACATGACTACAGTAAGAGGCAAATGGATGCAAATGGTCTGAATTACTTTGGGAAACAAAAAGGGATCAAAATTTGTCTATACTTGGTCCGGGGAACCGTTTTCAACAAATGGATATCGCTATGTTATGTTATCTCTAAGGTTGTCCCCAATTGAGGACACTTTGATTATCCAGAATTTTGGAAATCTCAAAAACAAGCCTTTTTGAGGCAGTTTGTTAGTTTCTTTTCTGGGACACGTATGCTGCAAACCCTTCGGTGCAGAACTTCTTTTTCTGCGAGAAACAACCGTTTTCAAGACACTTTTGTTTCACCCCCAAAAAAACAAACCCTTTAAGATCCTTTCAGAACAAAAAAGACGGCGAAAGGCACTGCCGTTTGCCAGTTTAGTCCCCAGATGTTAGCTTCACAAAATCCCCAAAAACCCAAAAAGAAACCGCCTGGGTACAGTTTCACCCGCTCTCTCGGGATGCTTGTCTCTTCCAGTAACCTGTCACCAATCACCGACACTGAATGGGGGACCCAATTTTCGTAGCTGGTTAACCCATGATATACCCTCCGGTAATGTCAAACACTTGCTGGCAAATCAGCCAGTAGCAGATATAGATGATGTTCCCAGTTATAAACCTACAGTTCCAGGGGATTCTTCCATGTTTGCTTTCCGGAGGGTCAATGTTAAGAATCACCCATATTGAAAATTATTGAAATGGCTAATGACTATTAGCCACTTGACAACTGAGATGCACCTTCAAGTATGCACTTCACCAGAAATGGAGATTTACTCAACTAGCAAAGGGGTTGAAGCAATCGTAAGAAAGGATATGTTGATATTGTGAATCAAACATGGGACGCTAATAGACACCAATATTGGTCATGTGCTTGAAGCTGTCTGAACTATTTGAGGCTAAATCATTTCATTAAATTTGGACAATCCAACATGATCTCGTCATCTGCATCACCACCTAGCATGGACCCACCAAACAATCATGCCTACTGCCTATATCAGAAAGTAGAGGGTCGGAGCCTTGATCTATCAGATACCATTAACATCCATTTGCCATTTCAACATACCGTCTGGTAAATTAACAGTTCGACCCTGGCAGTCATCGGGCTTGGAAGATTAGTTTCCATTAAAAGTAGGCTATTTTCAGGGTCCAACTGTTAATTTACCAGAGGGTATCTATGGAATATTTACCTACATTTACCCCAAAAATGACCCAAATGTAGGTAAATATTCCATAAATGGAGCATTTGGGATTTACCATTTCAACATATCTGAAAAAATACAAGTCGGATCCTGTTTCACAGGACACGATCAATGGATCAATGATCCATCCCAGCGGGAGCCCCCCCGATTTCCTGCCGAACACTCAAATCACCAGTTGTGCATTGCCAATGCATAAACGAAATCACCCACGAATCTACATTTTCAATGGGACTGAACTTGCCAAAAAACAAATTTTGAGATGGATAATCATAAATCAATGGATGTGAGGCTACCCTATTAACAAATCCATATGATAGACCGATCCCCAGCGAAGAGCGTCAGCACATCCACCAGATAAAAATGAGGACTCCACTCACGGAAGGCGCAGTCCAGGACAGTCTTGTCACTTTTTTTCCTAAGTCGCCAACTTGAGATTAGTACAAGTGGTTTGGTCCAAAATGACACGGTGACACGGTGACATGTCTAGTCTTCAATATTCTTACCACATCTTACCACTGTGACATGTAACAAGTCTTAAACCATCCAGTTTTTTCTGGCGTGATAACCATGGGCCACAAATGGCAAGGTCTCATGGCAACGAGGCCGTTTACGGCCCTGCCGGGCACTGCCGGGCGGATGACCTGACGACTTGATCTTCACCGAGGATTGATGTTTTTTTGCTGGTTAAAAATCCTGAATTTAGATACTTTTCTGAAGGTTTTAACTATTTTAATGGATGTTTTTGGCAGATCTTTGAGAATTCCTGAGTTTCAGGAGCAAACAGCATGTTATTTTTTTTTTAGGTTGTTCACCCCCAAAAAAAGGAAGGCCAAAACACCAAAACGACTTCGTTGTGCCTTCGTCCTGTGAACCAAGGGACTTTCCACCTTTGGGAAAACTCAACTTGCCGTTCCTGGACTCCACCAAACAGACTCTGTCCTGGAGGCAGACTTGGATCACTGAAATCGGAAGTCGCAGAAAAGATGGGAAAACATCCATGTCTTTTCACATTTAAGGTTTCTGGCAGATCTTCCCTTCAATTCAGGGGTGGTGTGTTTCAGGTATCTATGTGAAATCATACAATGTGAGGCCCCCAAGTGATGTTTGTTGGTTTAGATTCGCCCCAGTAACTAGTTCGTTATAAGTACCATAAACCATAGTGGAATTGGAGTTATAAATCAACTGAACGCTATCTAGGGGGCCTCACATTGTATATATCATCATATAAATAGATTCATAGATATACTGGGACATTATAAATGGATATCTTTTGGACATAGGCCTTGTATAGGCCTTATAAATGGTAGGTACCTCCAATTTAGGTTCCTGAAATGGCCATTGATTAATGGCAAGAACTATGATGTCAAGTTTCCAGTACGACAGATGATGAATTGGATTCAACAAACCCACGGAATGGCCAACACCGAGACGGAAGCGAGGCTGGGACTAGGTGGAACAAGCCACAGGTAGCAGAGGTTTCACCATCCATATATTATCATTATATTGTATATATATATATATTAAATTATATTATATATATATTATAGATATTATAGACATTATATTATATATTCTATAGATATTATAGATATTATGGATATTATGGATATTATATTATATATTATATATATATATTGTAGATATTATAGATATTATATATATATTATAGATATTACATACATATGTACAAATAGACACTTCTTGTAGAAACAGTTACCACTATGTCCCAAACTGTACATAAGTACACCGCAAAATTTCTGTCGAAAGCTCAGTACACCGTCCAGGTGATGTGCGTACAAATTCTTCGTTTTTCATACCAAACAAATCCCCAAACAAATCAATCAATAGTAAATGGATAGTAAGTGAGTAAAATGCATAGTAAATGCATGTAAATGCATACTATAGTTGAATTCTAGTAAAACGATTCGTAAAACGATGGATTGTAGTATGGATTGTAGTTTACATGGATATGTTTGGGATTTGTTTGCTATGAAACATGGATTGTAATGGATCAAAGTCTCAGCATGGCTGGCTTCAGGGGCCCATCATCAAGGTCCAGCACGATAGGCTTAAAAACATATTTCCCAAACCTTGGTTTAGCTATCATTGGATCCATTCATGGATCTGGTTGGTGGTATACCTACCCCTCTGAAAAATATGAAAGTTGTTGGGATGATTATTCTCAATACATGGGAAAAACATGTTCCAAACCACCAACCAGATATGGTTTCCGTCGTAGATTTTCCCGTCCCGCATGGACCATCGACTGGGTCCTGTCGGAAGGCGATCATCCCGGCCCCCCGCGGTGGGGTACCCCTGAAGGTTCCAGAAGAAATGGGAGGCGCCTGCCGTCAGGGCTCAAAATGGCAAAAAACATGGGCAGATTTTATTGTGAAAGTGAGGGGATTCCAATTTTGTTGCTAAACATATTAAATGATGTATTTAGGAAAATTCTCAATTGTTTTGCCAACATGCCAAATTTCAGTTCGTAAATGTGATATGCGAGTGTTCAGTAGTAAAGCCGAGTACTCAGTGGTAAACCATCCAAAATCATATTGGGAACAAACACTTGCAGCATTTTGCATCCAATCATGTCCCAATCATGTTGGGGCTACCCTCCCTGCAATTGGTCTTCCTCACTGCAGTCGAATGGTAAGGGCCTTCTCTCATGCCGTTGTTTCTTCCAGACCCAAGAGCGTTTCAAGGGTGAAACAAAAACTTGGATTGCTATGGGGATATAACGGGATACGATGCGGATATATGTGCATATATACAACACAAATATACTATTATATACTATTATATATATATATATAGACTATTATATATATATATACTAAAATATTGATATATATATATATATACATATACAATATATATATATATATACAATATATATATATACATATACAATATATATATACAATATATATATACAATATATATATACAATATATATATATATACAATATATATATATACAATATATATATATATACACAATATATAATAATAATAAATAATAATAATAATAAATAATAATAAATAATAAATAAATAAATACATAAATAAATAAATAAATAATAAATAAATAAATAAAAAAGTAAATAAATATAATAATAATAAATTTCATAATGATAATAATAATCATAAATAAATAAATAAAAAATAAATAAATAAATAATACTAATGATAATTATAAAAAACAATAATAACAATAACAATAATAGTAATATATGGATTATACAATGGAATGATGATGAAAATGATGATGAAGATGATGGGACATAATGAGTTATATTGGTTATTATACCCTCGCAATCAAACATGGTTTGCTGGTTTGTCCTCCATTTAGTTCAATGATTTTCGGATCGAAATCATCAAAACCTCCAGTTCCAAGATTTCTCAGCCATGTTGGTAACACCGAAGGGTAGGTGAGGCAGCCCAGTTATAAGTGTTTTTTTACTTACTGGTGCTTAGCAGGGAATGGATGGGAATGGATGGGAATGGGATGATTATTGATAGTTATTGTGGATCATTCCCTCATTCCCTACTAAGCACCAGTAAGATAAGTTGGTTTACAAAGCCCATTAGCTATAGTTACGTATATTAACCCATGTGTTCCCCAGTGGAAATTGTCAGGACCCTAAAATAGAGCATACTCCCTTATGTGTATATATATATAATATTATAGATATTATACCAGAAGAAAGGCCTTTTTTCTGGCAGGTTGCTCGAATAAATCGGTTTGTGAAATGGCCATTTGAATCATTGGTACTTCCCATTTCTTGACCAAAATGCGCTATTCAAAATACCCCTATCTTATCTCATGATACTACTCGGTTTTTATCGGTTTTCCTCCTATGGGTTATGATAGTCCCCAATCACCCAGGTATAGTGTATAAACATATCTATCTGTATATATATATAGATTATAGTATATATGATCCATTTCATAACCAGTCAACCAAGGTATTTTTCATCGCTCAAATGACTTGGAACATCGCCGGGAGCGCAGCCCGCAGCCTCGCCTCCGGCCAGCTGGAATCGCTGATCGAAGAGCTCCCATGGATCTGGTGGGGATCGTGGCCGAACCAGGCGAAATCCCTGGGGAAATGATCAAATTGAAGTGCTCGACTAGAGCTTGCGGAGAAAGAACATATGACAAATTTCGGATGAGTATACATAACTTACATAAGATGTTATAACTTCTTGGTTGAGTATGGTTGGAAGCCGTGATTGGAAGCCATGGTTGGAAGCCGGTGAATAATGTTGTGGCATAGGGGAACGCTTTGACATGGCAGGGCCGAGCGCTAAACGCCATCGCCCAGGAAGTGGACGACAACGTCAAGTGAAGGAAAGATCATTGCATAGAGGTACACACAGCTATACCATATTATACCATATTATACCATATTATACCATATATTATACCATATATTATACCATATTATACCATATTATACCATATTATACCATATTATACCATATTATACCATATATTATACCATATTATACCATATTATACCATATTATACCATATTATACCCACATAGTTATACCCACATAGTTATATCAATTATATCAGTATCCCACAATTTCTGTGGACTTAATTGTAGAAAAAGGAAGAAACTGGGAGATGATGGGATGCTTGTTGGATCGGAAAATTACCCAAGTCATGCTTGGTTAAGAACGATCTAATCCCCAACCAGATATTGAATAGTATAACCCTATGCAATCCTCAAGTGATCTGGTAGATCTGGTAGTTGGTTGATCGACCCGGCTCAACCAGTTGATGAGTTCACTGTGGTCAGATGGGCATCGAGGGCTATAACATGCTATAACCATACTGGTGCCATACTGGTACCACTGGCTGGATGGTCCGAAATCTTTAAGTGGTCCGTGGTTTCATGTGCGTACTTTCAACATGTTTCAACCATAGAAATGGGATGAACTGGGACTTTCTAGGATTATGATTATATGTACCCCAATGATGATCATATTCTTCAAAAGCATGAGTGGCACATCAACATCTTCCCACCAGAGGTGTTGGATCCATCATCGGTACCAGATTAGTTCAATCCATCAACGCAATGGGATGAGAAAAGACCAATCAATTGGACAGTTCCATCCATTGAAAATCATTGAAACCCAAAAACAACACTGCCATTTGGGACACGACTTCTTCTTTTGAACTGTCCACCATTTTAGAATTCGAGTGACTCTCCCGTTACCATTGGAGCTCTAAGTTCGGTCCAAGCTGCTTGTCCGACAGCTGCTGGCCCTGGGACGGGCCAAAACTCGATGTCCCAAAAAAGCATCTGGTATGAGTAAGTTAGCTTGCAACTTGGTTAGTTATGGCTTATGAAATGTTTATGGTAGATATATCATTGTTATATCATCAAATAATATATATATCATTGTTATACTGTGGATGAAGGAAATCCTGCACCAGTTAGTAGATGGTTTATCCCATTGTAATCCCATTATTTACAGTGTTTTATAGTTCCCAATAGTTACCAACTGGTGCAGGATTTCTTCCATCCACAGTATCATTGATATATATATATATAGATTATCATTATATATCTTATGTGAGAACCAGCACGCTATCTAGTGGGGCACCAACTGGGAGGGCAACCAATAAAAACAACTTAAAACCAATAAAACAAATAAAACAAATCCTTGGAGGGCCCGATTTTTTTTCTTTATTTTGTCTTATTTTTTTATTTGTCATTTTTGTTCTTATGTTTTTTTCCCTTTTTTATTGTGTAATTATGTTTGTTTTAGTTGTTTCTATGTGTAATTCTTGTGTTTTTTTATTTTTTTCCTATTTTTCCAATTTGTTCTTATGTTTTCTTATTTTTCCACCTTCGCAGGCCCAGCCCAAATAATCACCTACCAAATAGTGACCTCATCCTCATAATTGATATCTAGTCGATGGAGTTATGACTCAATTCGTATCTAATGGTCCACCGCTTAACTGACGGGGGAATCCGATTGGCCTTGCGATTGCGTCCATCCCAACGGTCGAAGAGGTCATGGAGTGATGCTTTAAGCTGTACAAAAGGTGGCAACCGGCGACCCCAAAACTCAAATTTTTGGCGCTTGTAGGTTCCTTTTTCGTGATAGTTTTGATATGTTTTGATTCGGCACTGCAAAACATCGAAATTCACATTGCGATGTCGGTTACATTTTCAACATGGATCCTTGGGGGCTGGGTTTTCTCATAGATATGCATATAGATATATCCTGATGCATGGGCCTGCATGTATTGTCCTATAGTTTGTAGTTATGGTCATAGCATTGGGCAAGCTGATTTTTATGTGTTTTCTTGATGGTCTTCAGTATTCGCCATCTCGCCATTGCGATGATTTTTCCCCTACTCCACAGATGGGCCAGATGGGCCAAGATGGGCCAAGATGGCCTCCGAATATATAATCTCAACCAGCTCAAATCATTCAAGTACCTCTAGTGACTCTAGTTGTTGTTAGTTCTGCCTTCCATGAGGCGGTTCCCCGCCTAGCTAAATTGTTTCATGAAAAAAGTCGGTCAACTGCTGTGTTTATTGTGTTTGTGGTATGGTATACTATTATACGTATACTTCGATGGGCTTTACGAAATAGTAGGTTTATAATACCACAAACCCACCAGGGTTTGTCAGTTACCATGCGAACAAACGAAACTATGAAACGCATTGGGTTCCTATTCAGTCACCATTGAACAAAATACCCTCTGGTTATTTAACATAGCCATGGAAAATGGCCCATTTATAGATGGTTTACCTGGGTTTACCTATTTCAAATGGTGATTTTCCATGGCTATGTTAAATAACCAGATGGTATCTATAAACCATGGGTTGACACACCAACATCACTGAGGGGCACGGCCTTCCCCGCCATCAACTGCCACCCCCACCCTGCAGGCGCCTGGCAAATACGGATGTTGCTCTTCATTCCTCCGCCCCATCTCACTCAGGGTGGAAAAACATGGGAGTACTCTAAGGATTACAACGTGGTATCAATGGGGATATAACATGTCTGTGTAGATATAATAATATATATATATATACAGTAAATATTATTAATATATCCATAGAATTATATAAATACATTATATTACACTAAAATTAGAACAGGATGGGAATAGGTCCTGGGTGTACTGTCCGGTAATCATAAACATTGCTGGCCGGGAAGTACCCCGATAAATGGGCATCTATCTGACTCTCTCTCTCTCTCTATATATATATATGTATATATAGACACATATGGGAAAATCATTGAACTAAATGGAGATAATTCCATGGTATACCATGGTTCTTTGCCGGACTATCTTTCCATCTCTTTCAACGTCCGCCAGCCGGTTGCCCAGCCCAATCTGCCCATTGCTTCATCCCCGATGTTGTCATACTTGAGAGCCCATCAAGAGAATTGGGGAGTTGTTCCAATCATAGGGTCACAAGGGGGGGGGTCTGTGGACCGGGGGAAACTGTCGAGGTCAGTTTGAGTAGGATCTGAGTTGCTATTTTAAGTATAAATAAACCAGATCTTGTAGATACACAATTCGGCCAGATTGAGAGATATTGAGGGGATTTGAGGTTCATTTGAGGTCTGTTTGAGGAAATTCATCTTTGAACTAAGAAATGTTGGATTGAGCTGAGTTTGAGGGAATTTGAGTATGACTTGAGTATGAATTGAGTTTATTGCTCTTCGCGTTGCTAATCAAAAAGTCACCTTATGACGTTGGAAACATTGGTGAGGTCGGTTTGAAGTTATATAAGTTGAATTGCTATGTCTATTCGTTTCTCTTGAATCCTTAAATTTCAATGAAATTCTTTGGTTCCCATTGTTTTTTATTTCCATGAAATTCTATATATAGATTTCTTTGAATTCCTGAAAATTCCTTTGAAAAATCATCATTTTTTTGAGAATTCATTAGAATTCACAAAAAACATCTTCAAATGCCTTAGAATGCATCAGAATTCCTCCAATTCATCGTTAAAAACAACTTTAGAATTCATTGGAATTCTTTTGAAATCCTCAGAATTCATTAGAACTTAAAAATTTCCTACAAATCCTTCAAATTTCTTCGAACCCCTTAAAATTTATTAGAATTCCTTAAGTACATTCAAACCAACAGAATTCAATTGAACACGCATGGGAATTTAATCAAATCTATGGAAATCGATAAAACTCAGTGGAAATCAAATAGAAATCTATACAATCCAATAGAAATCTTGGACATCGATAGAAATCCATTGATTTCCATGTTGCCGCAGGCCTGAAAGCTACGTGTATGGAAAAACAAAATATATACTCAAAATATGTCTGTATCTTTAATTTTATGTAAAATATTAATCTGGATAAAAATCCAACATATTCCAAGCTCAAGCCAGACTCAAGCCAGACTCAGAAAATACTCAGAACATACTCAACCGAGACTCAAACCAGACTCAGGCAAACCTCAATCCAGACTCAGAATAGACTCAGAACAGACTCAAACGAGACTCGATTCAGACTCAATCCAGACTCAATCCGAATGCTTTTGTAACACATTAAAATGTTGGATTTCTGTTTTAAACCTGATTGTAGACACAATTTATTGATAGAAATGTCATTTTTGAACCAAATTTCGACCAAGAAAAATCGGAAAAAAAATATTTTTAAATTTTCATTCCAATACCTTGAGAATGATCCACTGAATGTTTTAAACCTGATTGTGGACACAATTTATGGATAGAAATCTACTTTTAAAAAAGCATGAAAACTATAAAAGTGACATTTCTCATTTTGCATCATTTTCCCGTTGTCTTCTCTCGTTGTGTTTCTCTGTTGTGCTCCGCCGAGAGCCTGCTCCGGGTCCTCGGCAGACCAGGTTTAATGATGCAAAATGAGAAATGTCACTTTTATAGTTTTCATGCTTTTTAAAAAGTAGATTTCTATCCATAAATTGTGTCCACAATCAGGTTTAAAACATTCAGTGGATCATTCTCAAGGTATTGGAATGAAAATTTAAAAATATGTTTTTTTCGATTTTTCTTGGTCGAAATTTGGTTCAAAAATGACATTTCTATCAATAAATTGTGTCTACAATCAGGTTTAAAACAGAAATCCAACATTTTAATGTGTTACAAAAGCATTCGGATTGAGTCTGGATTGAGTCTGAATCGAGTCTCGTTTGAGTCTGTTCTGAGTCTATTCTGAGTCTGGATTGAGGTTTGCCTGAGTCTGGTTTGAGTCTGGGTTGAGTATGTTCTGAGTATTTTCTGAGTCTGGTTTGAGTCTGGCCTGAGTGTGCCTGGCCAGAGTCTGCCTCGAGTCTGGCCTAGTGACGAGTGTGTTCTGAGTTTGCGTTGAGTTTGGTGTGAGTCTGGTTTGAATCTAAAAATTCCGTAAAAATCCTTCGAATTCCTTACAATTCCGTGAGTTCGTTACAATTCCTTGAAATTCCTTAGATTTCATTAGAATTCCTTCTAATTTCCTTTTGGTTTCCGGTTGAATTCCTTAGAGAATTCCTTACAATTGTTAAAAATTCATTCAATATTTCTTAGAACTCCTTACATTTCTTAATTCCTTAAAATTCTGTAGAATTCTTTAGAATTCCTAGAATTTTGTAAAAAAAATCACCAGAATTCGTTAGAATTCCCCGTAATTCACCGTTAAACCCTAAACCCAAAACCCTAAACCTTAAACCCTAAACGGAATTTCAAAGAATTCTAAAATTCCAAAGGGGATTCTACGGAATTCTGCGTTTTTTTTGTCGAACTCAAAGAAATTCAAATGCATTACGAAATTTGAAGGAATTAAGGGGAATTAAGGTGAATTACGGGAAATTACGGGGAATTACAGAGAATCAAAGGGAATTAAGGGGAAACAAGAGGAATTAAAGGAAATTAAGAAGAATTACGGGGAATTACGGTGAATTACGGGGAATTCTGGGAAATTCTGGGAAATTAAGATGAATTAAGGACAATTACAGGAATTAAGTGCAATTAAGGGGAATTAAATGGAATTAAGGGGAATTAAGGCAAATTAAGGGGAATTAAAAGGGAATTAAGGGTGATTAAGGGAAATTAAGGTGAATTAGGTAGAATTACAGGGAATTAAGTGAAATTAAGGGAAATTACCCAGAATTACGGGGAATTACGGAGAATCAAAGGAAATGAAGGGGAAATAAGGGAAAATAAGGGGAATTACAGGAAATTAAGGAGAATTACGGGGAATTATAAGGAATTACGGGGAATTACAGGGAACTATGGGAATTACGGGCAATTACGGGAAATCAAGCGGTATTAAGGTGAATTAAGGGGAATTACGGGAAATTACGGGGAATTACGGGTAATTATATAAAATTAAGGAGAATTACGGGTGGGATTACGGGAATTACGAGGAATTACGGGCAAGTACGGGGAAGTACGGGGAAGTACGGGGAATTACGGGGAATCAAAGGAAATTTCAATGGGAATTAAGGTGAATTACGGGGAATTACGGTGAATTACAGGGAATTCCGGGGAATTAATGGGAATTAAATGGAATTAAGGGGAATTACGGGGAATTAAGTTGAATTAAGGAGAATTACGGGGAGTTACGGGGAATTACGGTGAATTACGGAGAATTACGGGGAATTAAGGAGAATTACGGGGAATTGCGGAGAATCACGGGGAATTACGGGGAATTACGGGGAACTATGGGAATTACGGGGAATTACGGGGAATGACCGGGAATTAAGTAAGGGATTTAAGGGAAATTAAGGGAAATCAAGGTGAATTAAGTGGTATTAAGGGGAATTAAGTGGGATTAAAGGAAATTACGATGAATTACGGGGAATTACGGGAAATTAAATGGAATTAATGGGAATTAAGGGTAATTAATTAAGGGAAATTAAGATGAATTACGCGGAATTAAGGGAAATTAAATGGAATAAGAGGAATTAAAGGATAAAATGAAATTAAAGGGGAATTAAGGGTGATTAAGGAGAATTAAGGTGAATTAAGGAGAATTACGGGAAATTAAGTGCAATTCAGGGGAGTTACGGGGAATTACGGAGAATTACGGGGAATTAAGGGGAATTACGGAGAATTACGGGGAATTAACGGGAATTAATGGGAATTACGGGGAATTACGGGGCACTATGGGAATTACGGGGAATTACGGGAAATTAAGGGATTCAAGGTGATGGGGATTAAGGGGAATTAAGTGAGATTAAGAGGAATTAAGAGGAATTAAGTGGAATTACGAGGAATTACGGTGAATTACGGGGAATTACGGGAAATTAAATGGAATTAATGGGAATTAAGGGTAATTAAGGGAAATTAAGATGAATTACGGGTAATTAAGGGAAATTAAATGGAATAAGGGGAATTAAGGAAATTTAAAATGAAATTTAAGGGGAATTAAGGGTGATTAAGGAGAATTAAGGTGAATTAAGGAGAATTACGGGAAATTAAGTGCAATTCAGGGGAGTTACGGGGAATTACGGATAATTACGGGGAATTAAGGGGAATTACGGAGAATTACGGGGAATTAACGGGAATTAATGGGAATTACGGGGCACTATGGGAATTACGGGGAATTACGGGAAATTAAGGGATTTAAGGTGATGGGGATTAAGGGGAATTAAGTGAGATTAAGAGGAATTAAGAAGAATTAAGTGGAATTACGAGGAATTACGGGGAATTACGGTGAATTAAGGTGGAATTACAGAAATTACGGGGAATTACGGGGAATTAAACGGAATTTCAATGGGAATTAAGGTGAATTACGGGGAATTACGGAGAATTACGGGTGGAATTACGGGAATTACGAGGAATTACGGGGAAGTACGGGGAAGTACGGGGAAGTACGGGGAATTACAGGTAATTACACGGAATTAAAGGGAATTTCAATGGGAATTAAGGTGAATTACGGGGAATTACGGTGAATTACAGGGAATTACGAAATTAATGGGAATTAAATGGAATTAAGGGGAATTACGGGGAAATAAGTTCAATTAAGGAGAATTACGGGGAATTACGGTGAATTACGGAGAATTACGGGGAATTAAGGAGAATTACGGGGAATTACGGAGAATCACGGGGAATTACGGGGAATTACGGGGAACTATGGGAATTACGGGGAATTACGGGGAATGACCGGGAATTAAGGGAAATTAAGAGATTTAAGGGGAATTAAAGGGAATTAAGGTGAATTAAGTGGTATTAAGTGGAATTAAGTGGGATTAAGGGAAATTAAGGTGAATTACGGGGAATTACGGGAAATAAAATGCAATTAATGGGAATTAAGAGTAATTAAGGGAAATTAAGATGAATTACGGGGAATTAAGGGAAATTAAATGGAATAAAGGGGAATTAAGGGAATTTAAAATGAAATTAAAGGGGAATTAAGGGTGATTAAGGAGAATTAAGGTGAATTAAGATGAATTACGGGAAATTAAGTGCAATTCAGGGGAGTTACGGGTAATTACGGTGAATTACGGAGAATTACGGGGAATTAAGGGGAACTACGGAGAATTACGGGGAATTAACGGGAATTAATGGGAATTACGGCGAATTACGGGGCACTATGGGAATTACGGGGAATTACGGGAAATTAGGGGGGTGATGGGGATTAAGGGGAATTAAGTGAGATTAAGAGGAATTAAGAGGAATTAAGTGGAATTACGAGGAATTACGGGGAATTACGGTGAATTAAGGTGGAATTACAGGGAATTACGGGGAATTAACGGGAATTAAGTGGAATTACGGTGAATTACGGATAATTAAGGGTGATTAAGGGGAATGAAGGGGAATAAGGAGAATTAATGTGAATTACAGGGATTTACGGTGCGTTGTACGTTAGATTTCATCAGGTTAGAATTCCTTGGATTACCGTAGAATTCCCGAGAATTCCTTGGAAGTTGTTAGAATCTCTGAAAATTCCTGAATCTTTGGATATTTCTTAGGATTGCTTAGAATTCCTTTGGATTCTTTTTTTAAAATTAATCAAATAATGCCTTGAATTCCGTTGATTTTTACAAAAAATAATAATAATTGAGCAAAATAATGTTTTTTTTGAAACAATCCTTAGAATTTCTCAAATTTCAATATTCTCTGGAATTCTGTGGGCTTCAGTTCAAAACAATTGGATGCCCATGCACCCCACCCTCGACTGCATAGTTGATCTGCTGACAATTTTCCGTAATTAGATAGATTGGTGCACACTTTCACGCAAAATAATATGCAGCGCGAATGTTTTTATTTTGATTCGACACGAGATTCTGTTGAACCCTCAGCCCCACTCCGCACCAATCACTTTTTCACGAGTGATACAATAATGTCTTGGCTCATTCATTGAGAATGGCTAGGCCGATGGCTGCAACTTTCTTTTCTGATGTCTCAACTGTGATTTGGTAAACATCCAATTCACTGTCTGGATCTCCAAAATTTATCTCGTCGTGCTGAGATAATCAGGTTTTGAACGATTTGGTAACGGTGTTATGCATGCCAATTCAGACATCAGTTGTGGTGGCCAACACGTTTTGGACAACATCCCTTTCGGGAGGTGACCACTGAATGTAGTCGGATCTCGAATTGAAATATTTGTTGTACGTGTGCCTGGTGAAGTCAAGCCTCAGGCGGATCCAAAGGATGACAATGTCACGCGCGAAACTGCAGAATAAATGATCCAATTTGAATAGCACACGCGAAATTTGCAAATGAGCAATCCAAATGTTATAAATCGTGCTTAAAAGAATTGTCGCACATCAAGCATGGCACAACTTGCGACAAATATGCATGTTTATTCAATACGCATACACTAATAAGTAATTATTTTACATTCTGCTAGATAACATCAAAGCCAAGGAACACAGCTAATGCCGCTTCAACCATGTCACTGTCGTGCTTCCATGATCTCTCCCTGCTCTGCTGCACTCCCGCAGGCAAACCTCGGGTGCCGGCTGACACAGTGGAAACGATCAGCTGAAAGATATGTAAACACAATGTAACAGGTTGGTTGGCAACAGTTGGATGCAATCAAAATGCAACAGATTTGCCACATTGTTGATATTTCCCAAATGTTTTTCAAATTCAGTCGAAACCGCTAGTGATGTGAATAGTTGGGTTCGGTACCAACTGAAAATGCAATAGGAGACAATGACTTTCAAGAATCAAACTGAAGTTTGAGGCCGCCGATTTGTGGCTAAATCGAACTAGCTAATTGCGACGAGCGACCAGTGAACTCAACTTTGATGTACTTCTTGTCCCTTCGGAATCGAACCTTGACATAACCAGCACGAGGAAAAATGTCCTTGGCTTTGGATTTGTGATGACATAAATTAGGAAATGAAATAGGGAGATTAAAGTGTGACATACATAGGGAAATAAATAGGTACATACATGGTCACAACATAATTTAGGAAATCAATTGGGAAATCAAGGGAAAATAAACAGGTACATAAATAGGGAAATAAATATATAATGATGCAAATAAATTGGGAAATAATAATGGAAATAAATGGTGAAATAAATGGTGAAACAAATAGTGAAATAAATATAAATAAATGGGAAAATAAATAGGGACACAATAAGGGATTGAATTGGGGAAATACGTAGGGAAATAAGTATGGAAATGAATATGGAAATAATCAGGGAAATAGGTACGGAAATACATTGGGAAATGGTTAGGTAAATAAATCAGGAACAAAGTAAGAAATAAATAGGGAAATAATTACGGAAATAAATATGGCAATAAATAGGGAAATATAATTGAGGAATAAATTGGGAAATAAATGCGGAAATGAATAAGGCATTAATTGGAAAATAAACAGGTACATGTATAGGGAAATAAGTAGGGAAATACATTGGGAAATAATGATGGAAATAAATTGTGCAATAAGGAAATGATTAGGGAAATAAAAGGTGAAATAAGTGGTGAAATAAGTAGGGAAATAAGAAAGGAAATAAATTGTGAAATAAATTGGGAAATAAATAGGAAACAAATGAGAAAAACATAGGGAAATAGTAAATTGGGAAATAGATACGGAAATACATAGAGAAATAATTAGGGAAATAAATTGGGAGGATTCAACATGCCCAGATAGATGCTGCAACGAATCGAGTCAGTTTCCAAGAAGATAAAATCAGATCCAATCCGTACATGACTATATAGTTGCTTAAATCTTAATTGGCATCAAGAATCACGAATCGATGCAGGGACTGGAATAGGAGCAGCTCGGTTAGGTGCTGGCACTCCAACATGAGGCCGAGAACTTCCAGGCATGTCTTGATCCTCTGGAATTGGTTCGGGCTCGGGCGGCTTCGACGGCTCGGGTTCTTTCCGCTTGCGTTTTTCACTCTCAGCAGCCTCAGGAATCGGGATGGCTGATCCATTGTCAAACATCCATCATTGTAGACCAATTTCGGCAGAATTGATTGTTGAATGCTTGCCCCAGTAAAGTCAAAAAAATGTCGGCAGAATTCGGCGAAATTGCCCGCAATTTCGGCGGAATTTGCCCGCAATTTCGGCGGAATTACCCGGACTCAGCATTTATATGCACAGCCCATGAAAACACCATTTCGGCAGAGTTGAAAATTGTTGGCAATTGTATTCCCCAACCTTTTATGGTATCAGCAATAAATGACGACAGAAAACTATATCAGTTCAATGCTGAAACTGACTTGAACCCCATTTGAAACTGTTGATGCATCATTGGAAAGCATTATTTTTTCATTTACAGATCACGGCAATTTGCACTGAAAAACCACTAAGACTGACATTCCGGAGTTTTTGAAAAGAAAATTAGCGGCGGTTTCCCGTAAATGTCCAAACTTAAAAAAAAATGAATGGTTCCTAATGGTTCACGCTCGGTTCACGCTAGTAATATTTAACAATAGATTTTTAGATAGTCCGTTTAAGCTCGGTTCGGGCTCGGTTCACACTAGCAATTTTGGGCCCATGACAGCTCATATGCGATGCGTTCGTGGTGATTCCGGGATTCCGAATGATCAAATAATGCGGATGGACATAGTAATAAACAACAAATTAAATATTTAGGAAAATACTGAAAATACTTATCATATTTTTTTCAGTTCCTGCAGGATTATACGATGTCACTGCCTTAAAGGGGGTATTGAATTTTCTCTGGATGTCCTCGGAAACAATCTGACCCACACCGAAAGCCAATATTTTCTTTAGAAACAAATAATTTTCTTTGGAAACCCTGATTATTTACTTTCAATCCAGCTACCTTTTCTTTTGCCTTCTGCTCCTCCACTTCCAACTGCCCAATTGCTTCTTCAACGATTGCACGGAACTCTGGCTTCTCGACTTCATCCAAGGCAGCAATCAATTTCAACAATTCGGGTCCGCATTCGTCCTCCTTAGATGCAGATGGCAAATTGTTGATAGATACCGGAAATTAAATAATTAATAGGTGTGTTAAAATATAACTTTGAATGGATTGGAGAACCACAAAGATCATTTGCGAAAGTCGCATGAATTATGAATTACGAGAAGCCGAGAGTCAGGAATCAATTGAGTTCGAGCTTGGTTTGCGATCAGCCTCTGCACAACCGCATTCCACTGATCCTGTGTCAGTTAAAACTGATGCATATTTGGCTCAAAAGCAACGGAAAGGTATAACAGTTCACAATGAGGAGACTCAAGCCCGTAACCAATGGAAAAAATTGATCGACGAAATTGTTAAGTAGCAGCCTGCCATCGGGAGCAACAAAACTGACATCTTCGGACAGCGAATAAATGATTGTATCTATGTAATATATTATATATAGAGAGAGAGATACATATAATATAGAGAGCGCAATCCACAATTTTGAAATTTCACTGTCCTCCGTGTCATCCGGAAACAGATGCTGCGCCAGCGATCGTGCTAAATCTTCTTTGAGTACGTTTCCATTCTTGCCACTGCCTGTTCCTTTGCGTGGAAGCTCAAGTTCCAGAAGACTGAAAATCTCGCGCAGGTCTGGCACCAACAGATTCAGCTTCTTCCCGTTTTCTCAGATTGGACAAGGGGAAGTGAATACAATACCTCAAATGGAAAAAAAAATCACTTTAGGCACTTAAGGAAAATATTAGTACTTATTTGACTTATTTTTTACTTATTTTCACGTATTTTAACTCTTTTTTGATATGTTTAAAGGTTAAGAACTGATAATATACGAATTATTTCTCTTTTGCATGAATTTTCTGAATTTTATAGATTTTATGAAATTTATGTTTTTTTTTTAATATTATTTTTGGAATTGGCTAAAAAATCTTATTTCTGAAAAAAAAATGAATTTTATCATACATTTAAATCTTTATTTGTTTTCTAATTTCTGCATTTTTTTGAATTTTCTGGATTTTCGGAATTTTCGATATTCTCTGGATTTTCTATTGTTTTTTGGATTTTCTGAATTTTCTAGATTTTCTGAATTTTCTGAGTTTTCTGAACTTTGTGAATTGCTTTCCTTTTAATTTAAATTGGAAAAATATTATTGTTTTTTGAATTTTCTGAATTTTCTGGGTTTCTGTGTTTTCTGGGTTTTCTGAAGTTTCTAAATTGTTTTCCTTTTAATTGATTTTTTGAATTTTCATGGTTTTCTGATTTTTTTGAATTGTTTTCTGTTTAATTTAAATTAGAAATTCTGAATTTTCTGAATTTTCGGAATTTTCTGGGTTTCTGAATTTTCTGATTTTTTTTTAATTTTTTTGGGTTTCTGAATTTTCACATTCTGAATTGTTTTCCTTTTAATTCAAATTATAGTTTCTGAATTTTCTGGGTTTTCTGAATTGTTTACCTTTTAACTTAAATTAGAAATTTTGAATTTTCTGAGTTTCTGATTTTTTTTTTGAATTTCTTTGGTTTTCTGAATTTTCTGAATTGTTTTCCTTTTAATTTAATTAGAATTTTCTGAATTTTCTTAATTATTTTCTTAATTTTCTAGATTTTCTGTATTTTCTGGAGTTCTGAATTTTGTGAATTTTCTCTGGGTTTTCTGGATTTTCTCTGTTTCTTTTTTGCATTTTCTTCGGGTTTTCTGGATTTTCTGAATTTTCTGGAAATTCTGGAATATCTGCATTTTCTGGATTTTATTTTTTTTAATTATATTTTTTAATTGTTGTTTTTTATTTTTATGATTTTTCTCCTAATATTCGAATATATTTGATTATATTTTCATTATTATATAATAATTTCAAATAAAAAATCAGTGAAACACAACGCAAAATAATTAATTTTAAAAGAACAATTTAAACACGATATTAGCATGATAATAGCAACTTATTAAACATTTAGAAGCTCATTAAGTGCCTAAAGTGAGAATTTCTTCTGTTTGAAATCTTAGTAGTTGTCATTGACGAAAAAAAACATGCAATTATGAAAATAATCGGGAACATGATCAATTATTAGGAATTCCTGGATTTATTGTGAATTATTGGGAACTATGGTAGATGATTGATAATTATGTTGAATTAAGGTAAATCATGAGGAATGACGGTGGAAAATTATGTGGAATAGAATCCTTGGGAATCAAAGGTGTAATTCCAAGAAGATTTGGTAAAATATAATGAATTACGGTTAATGATGTTGAATTATTGGAAATTATGTTGAATTATGGTAACTATAACTATTGGAAAATATGTGGGCTTATCGGTGAACATTACAAGGAAATTATGAGTCATTATGAGGAATATGATAATTTGTTTTGCAAATTATTGATAGTTATACAAGGTTCATTGTCGGTATTATTGGGAATTATCGGGTTATCGGGAATTTTAGGAGAAATAAGCCAGAATAATAAGAACATATTGATATTTACGGATGAATTATTGGGAACCGTGCGCTAGTATAGAGAATTTAGAAATTTCAGGCCAACAAGTTGGCCGCAAAATTGAAAAACCTATTTCAATACAGAACTGCCAGCGCCAGTTTTAACTTAAAAGCGCGCTTTACGAATACCTTCAAGACAACTTCAATTGAATCGCTAGCCAAGCATCGAATTTTCAGAGCTGCTTTCAAAATGTTGGCATTCTCGCCCGTCACTTTGGCAGCAGTGAGCACATTCAATTCTCTGGGTAAGCAGCCAGGTGGCACCACTGTCGTTGGTACATGTTGAACATCGTCTCGAATGCCAGGGCAGATCAAGAAATGAGTTCCTGCCATCATTTCAGCGCTTGGAACCACGTACCGTTCACCATCATGCTCCATCACGTTGCAGGGCAGCACAATTGCTGCATACCTTGGTGTAAGCAGCAGGAAAATAGAATCAAATGTAATCATTGTAACTAACACCGGCTCATGCTTGAAGTTTTGCATACAAGTGTTTGGACGTAGAATTTAATTTGAGCAGAAATTGAATGCTTCCTGTGCATATGCCTATATTAAATATTACCGTTCAACTCGACCGCCGAAACATCAATGAATACAGAAATTGAGATGCCGGAAGAATCCGAGTGCAATGACAAATTCATCGGATCGATGGTCATAGTAGACTTCCCGATCAACCAACAGCCGTCCTGTCCATGCCAAATGCAATGATTGGAAGTTGTCACGCATCGATCTCACGGTGAAGGCAATTGCTGCCGCAGCCACCCGGTTTGACATGTAGCCACCTGGTCGCCACATTTCCTGTCAAATACGGTTCAATGAGCGTATCCATGAGTTAATTATAATTTAATGGACCTGAATTTTGGGTACCATGAGTTCAAGGATCCTTGGATGTAGCCAATTTCAACTAATTCTGATCTACGGGTTTTTGATGAGGGATTGCTTAAGGGGATACCACCGTCAACATACATCAGAATAATAAAAGTATTATTCCGGCATCCGTTGAGTTCAAAAAAAAAATCTGAGAACTCAATGAGATATATGGAAAAATGAAATAATTTCCATCAAAAAATGATACCGGTATAGTCTATTTCTAGCCAAACGCAAGTGATCGTAAGCAGCTGCGCGCAAACGGCCGAAAACGGTTTCCCTTCTTGCAGAGCTGGGGCACAAATTTAAACAATTTTCACCATAATCAGATAGGATCAAGAAGAGTCAGCATAGTATCTTTAAACAAATGTCCTGTCAGCAACCCACTGGTTGAACATGGTTTTAATTGCTTTTGAATGTTTTTCCAGTTTCTTGGCTAGTTTGGTGGTTCTGGCCTTAGTGGGAATGAGTGGGAAAGGAAAATATTTGGTTGTCACTTGTTTATTTTTTTGCCAATTTCTGGATTTGTTTTGTGATTGTAGCAACTGCCCCCTTTTGTTTTTGAGGAGTGCAAGGCATCTCCAATACCCCTAGAATAATTTCTCTACTGCGGAAAGCCCACAAAATGGCACCCAACCTGGCTCTCTCCTACAAGTTTTCCCAACTTTGCGTACGCCACCCTATTTCTTCCATATTTACCTTCATTTCCTTCAAAAAAAAATCCGTGTGATAATTCAACATCGGACCTCTAAAGTGCTCTTCGATGGCATACCATCCATTGGCAAAGCTGCATGCTTCAGTCCCTTCCACACTGGAATCGCTTGTGCTTGTTCTTGAACTGCATAATTGCTCGAGATGTTGTTGAAATCGTCATGTGCGAGCGAGACAGAATTCAATCCTCCCGTGCTTGTGTAGCGGTTCAAAATCAAATACGACCACTTGGTCCAGTTTGACATCCTCTGAGCCTTTTGTTGTCTGGTACGATCCTTCAGGGCATTGAACGCGGATTCAAGAGATGCCTTGGTAGTTTGAGGAACTTTGAACAGCACCTCGCACACTTCTTTCAGACCTGGATCTGCTGGACTCCAGTCGCATTTCTTCCCCAGCACAAAGATTTCTCGGGTTAGCTGCAACGCATTCGTTCCGATGTCATCCAGGAGCTGCTTGGCCAGTCGGTCCTCTTTGTTGTCGAGAACGTGTTGCTCTAGCTTCAAGATTCCGTTGCAAACCCTTCGCCAGATCATCCTCGCGTTCATGAGATCCTGGGATGAGTGGGAAGAATGCCTGAGAGCTCCAAATGTATGGAAGTTTTTGCCGATTTAGGATGTCGGCAGATTTTTGAGATTTCGCTCTTAAAAACGGCTTTCGGCGGAATTCCATCATTGGAGATCAATTTCGGCAGAATTGATTGTTGAATGCTTGCCCCAATAAAGTCAAAAAAATGTCGGCAGATTTCGGCAGAATTGCCCGAAAATTCGGCGGAATTGCCCGCAATTTCGGCGGAATTACCCGGACTCAGCATTGGTTACAAATATGCACAGCCCATGACATGAAAACTCTATCTCGGCAGAATTGAAAATTGTCGGCAATTTTATCTATTTTCGGCAGAAATTTTAGAATTCGGGTATTCCTAAGTATTCCTATGCTGCAATGTAATTTCGCCAGAAGTTCCCAAAAAGGATTCCCCAGGTATGCCAATAATATTCGAATAATACGGAAATAATAATCGAGCAATATTGTTGAAATATTGAGGAACTATTGGAAAATAATGGTGAGCTGATGGGGAAATAATAGAGAAATAATAGGAGAATAATAGTGGAATACTGGGGAAATAAGATAGAAATAATATGGAAACAATATGGAAATAATAGTGGAGTAGTAGGGAAAAGAATAGTGAATAATATAGAAATTTTGGAAATAATAGGACAATAATAGGGAAATAAATAATATGGAAATAATTAATTGATGTATCCAATTGTGTTTCAATGACCTAAGAGACGACACCAACTGGAGCAATGCAAAAAATGAAATGCAAGTCTTGGGCCAAGGCACAGCCATCTCAGTGCAGAAAATCATAGCCATGCAGTATGGAAAGCATACAGTGAAGAAGGTCTGTGACCAAAGCCGATTGGAGATGAGGTCCACCAAGAAATTCCAGTGCAGAGTCATCAACTTTTTGTCTTGCTCCAACCGGGGATCGTCGATTGCCATTGGCACTGACCTAGGACGCGCAAAGGCTGTTGGCTACAGCATCAAGGGATATTCAACCGGGTAGTCCGGGACTGAAAAGTTCTGAATTATACAAATGGGGCCACAGCACCAATCGTTTTTTTTTTTGATGGTTGTTTTGTTTGGCTACTCACATTTGAAGAATTTCTGCTAGTTACTCGTACAATGAGGAATTATTTGGAATTACGCAGATCTTTATTTTTATTGAAAATATTTTGTATATGGTCGGATTTGATGGAGTTATAGACTTGCTCAATCTATTTTTTTTGAATTCTATGGAATTCTATGGAACTTTTGGAATATCGTGGAAATCTTTTATTTGGAACTATCTAAGGTTCTGCCGAAATTTCTTGGAATTCTGAGAATGGAATTCTACGGAATTCCTAGGATGGAATTCCATGGAATTCAAAAAAATGAAGTACTTTGGAATTCTATGGTATTAATTAATTGATTTTCGTGGAATTCTATGGAATGCTTGGAAAATTGAGGAATTCTGCGAAATTGAATGGAAATTCTATAGAATTGCTGAATAGTTTAGAAGTCCGTGGAATTCATGGATGATCTTGGAACTATCTCCGACTCTATCGAGTTCTTGGAATCTCTTGTCGTCAGATCTTGAATATTTATGTAGAATTCTATTAGTTCTTACGATTGGTTTCTATTGAATTGAACTGCTTTGGAACACTTTTTGTGAAATTCACAATTTAATTAATTCTATAGAATTGTGTGAAATATCTTGGAAATCACAGAATTCTTGGAATATGTTGGAACTGTGGAATTCCATAGTGCCTTGATCTTCCCCTTGACTAGATTTTTTTATGTGTTCATGAATTCATATCCTTTCCAAAAAAACATATCGTTGACGGCGCATCGCTGGAAATCATGTTGGGTTTTGGGGCTGCATATATTTTCAAGTTCCTTGGGTGCCGCCATTGCATCTCCAAACCGATTCCCCCTGTCACCCACGCATACTGATGGCAGAGCCACAGTGCTTATGTATGATTTTCATGCTTGTAGTAAGCATTACCAGAGACTCAGTGGCATGCCTAAAAAGTTACACGATGGCTGCAAACCGGTTCAAACCATTGAATATCGGTAATTCTTGACAAAATAGTCAAAAGGTAGCGATGTAGGCAAACACAAGAACTACAAGAAAATTCTTCCTGTTGCAGGTTCCAGGTGAAAAATTGTGCTATTTCAATCATAATCAAAGACTGGCCGCTGAAGTGGGATCAAATCCAATTCTTCGATCAAGGCCATGCTGCTCACCATTTTTGTGGTCATGTCACAAACTGTCTTCAAGTATCCACGGCCCAAAGATCGCTCGGATGCCCATGTAGCGAAGTGCTCTTGTCCAAGGGCATGTTCTGCATGAGCAAGTGCATATTCCTGATGCAGAGGGTCGAGATCAAAGACAATCAGGCGGACCTTGTGCTTCAGCAACGTGTCAGACAGCAGCGAACTGATAAAGCTGGCAGAGTTGTCAAACTGTTCCCGCAACGCGTTCAATGCTGCACGAGTTGCTGGATCAGCATCGTCATCTTCCGGCTGCTGCTGCTGCTGCTGCTGGTGGTGCTCCGGAGGAGGAACCTTCACAAGGCCGAGCCCAAATGAGACAGTGGTCACTGACTGTCTTTTGTGATCTTGAAGATTCCATTGTAGATCTCTTAAACAAGTCTACGTATTAATTGCGCTTAAATAGCATTAAATTTCTAGAATCTCTAGAATCTGTAGAATCCTAGAATCTCTAGAATCTCTAGAATCTCTACAATCTATCCCGTAACCTCCCGTAACCTCCCGTAACCTCCCGTAATCAAGCTAAAATCTCTAGAATCTGAGTCTAGAATCTCCAGAATCTCCAGAATCTCTAGAATCTCTAGAATCTCTGTAGAATCTCTAGAATCTGAATATCCCGTAACCTCCCGTAACCAAGCTAGAATCTCTAATCTGAGTCTAGAATCTCTAGAATCTCTGGAATCTCTAGAATCTCTAGCATCTCTAGAATCTCTAGAATCTCTAGAATCTCTAGAATCTCTAGAATCTGAGTATCCCGTAACCTCCCGTAACCAAGCTAGAATTGCTAGAATCAATCTCTAGAATCTCTAGAATCTCTAGAATCTCCAGAATCTCTAGAATCTCTAGAATCTCCTAGAATCTCTAGACTCTCGTAGAGATTCCAGAGATTCTAGAGATTCTAGAGATTCTAGACTCAGATTAGAATCACTAGTCTGAGTCTAGAATCTCTAGAATCTCTAGAATCTCTAGAATCTCCAGAATCTCTAGAATCTCTAGAATCTCCTAGAATCTCTAGACTCTCGTAGAGATTCCAGAGATTCTAGAGATTCTAGAGATTCTAGACTCAGATTAGAATCACTAGTCTGAGTCTAGAATCTCTAGAATCTCTAGAATCTCTAGAATCTCTGGAATCTCTAGAATCTCTAGAATCTCTAGAATGTGAATAGCCCGTAACCTCCCGTAACCTCCCGTAACCAAGCTAGAATCGCTAGAATCTGAGGCTAGAATCTCTAGAATCTCTAGAATCTCTAGAATCTCCAGAATCTCCAGAATCTCTAGAATCTCTAGACTCTCTAGAATCTCTGGAATCTCTAGAATTTGAGTATACCGTAACCTTTCGTAACATTCCGTAACCAAGCTAGAATCTCTAGAATCTGACCAAGCGCAAGAGAATTTGATTTTGACTTTTGGAACTTTGGTACATTTTCGCGCATGCAGGGCGTAATTTCGTGCATCGGGGCGCAAAACTAAAAGTGTACCAGCAACACTGATATTTGCATCCCAAATGTTGGCCCACCGAAGTTCAGGATTACATTGGCATAGTTTCAATTAAATGCATCATAATCCCGCAAAAATCATCATTATATACGTTGATAACTACTTCTTGCTTGGTGATTGAAGTAAACCTAACGGATCTACACCCCAAATTGCGAAGAGTGGCTCACATCATAGTGATGGTTAAGCACTCCCCACTCCCAATCTAGCCTGTTTCCCCAGTAGCTCCGCTGCATGTTCAATGGAAGCCTTGATGACCGTCCAGCTCGTGAGAAATACCTTGAAGGCTTCGCAGATTCCAAACCATGCTTTGTTGCGTACCTGAGCCGGGAAAAAATAATAGGGAATAGTCATAGTTGAGAAAGTAATTAAATTAGGTAAGTGACTAGGGAATAAATAACGGTGTATAATTCAAAAAAAAATAACGGAAAATTTAATTCCGGAAAAACATATTTCTAGTTAATTGTGTAATTGTTTTTGTGTACACCAAGTGAACACTGAATCCTGGTGTCGGGCTGGAAAGAATCAAGTTGGGCACAGCGCGCGGAGATTATTGGTGGCTATCGAAACCCAAATAGATGAAGCCAGAATTAACAAAAAGTCTTGCGTATTTTTTTTCATTAATTCGATCGGTCCCAATGATAATCCGTCCGAGAATCGACTGGCAGTTTTGTCCTTATCCCCGGAGAGCCCATGAACTTCTCCTCCGTCAGTGTTTGACCTCGCTGCTTGGTGTCGAAGATCCAGTCTTCGGTGAGCTTCTCGAAATCATCCATGGTGGCCTGCTCGCAAAACATAGCCGCTGCCTGCTGAAGATCGTATGCAAATTTTCCACTGCGATATGGACCTCTGAAATGGTTGATTACAAGCGTTGCTTTCAATACAGCGCCTTTCAGCTGGGCGGATGCAAGAGCACGGGAGACGTCTCCCCAACAGGGGTGCGACATTTCAGGCACGATGAAGCCCCGGACTGCAAGTGGATGTAGGAGCAAGTTTGCTGCTTTGAAATTTACACACTCCTCGTCACTGAGCAACGTGACAATCGGCCGCTGCTGCAAAGGTGGCAATTCCACTTCGAGACTCCCTCCAACTGTCAGCCTGCCACAAGCGCAGGTTAGCATGCATCTTGTGAAACTTCTGTGAGCAGACTGTGTATTGAATGCTATGAATTTAATTATATAATAGGAAATGTTGCATGCGTCTCGAAAGGGTTCATGTTATGTTGATGGCTTCAAAA